ATCAAGTCAAGTCAAGTGGACTTTATTGTCATATTACCCATGTAGAGATATATAGTGGCACAGGATAACATTCCCCTGTACAACATTCAAACAGCAAGGGGGGGTTCGCACGACTTAAAGTGCAAAGCACAGGGCAAACACAGGGACTGGACTCCGGGGTTCATATACAATGTGGCTGAAATGCATAAAGTGATAATAAACTATGCATAACAATGAGTAGATAATAATGAATAGATAGATAATGTGAAAAATGCATGGATGGACAGTGGGCATGTGCTCTCAACAAAAGAGAGAGTGAGTGAGGAAGAGAGAGTGAACGAGGAAGAACAAGCGAGGGAGAGAGAGAATGAAGTAGAATGAGCGAGGAAGAGAGTGAAAGTGAACGAGGAAGATCAAGCAAGGTAGAGAGTGAGCGAGGGAGAGAGTGAGTGAGTGAGGAAGAATGAGCAAGGAAGAAAGAGAGTGAGAGAGAAAACTTCCCTGGATGTGAGCTGAGGAAATGAGCGTGTTTATGTGAGTTCTTAATTAACCCTTATTTTAAACGCCCCCGGGGTACGCTGTCTGCGCAGAAATGGAGAATTATTATCCTCTCACATGGCTGGGAAAATGGCCCTTACTTTGTACTTCACTCTGTTTGTGAGGAATGTACTGTTTTAGTGCAATTATGATGGTTTTGACTTTCATTAGAGTGGGTGAAAAGTGACGGAGATTAAGGAATATTCTGCCCCAACGTGGGGGCTTGTGTGTTGTGAAAATGGGGCCGCTTTCCGGGCAAGCTGACAGGAATGTCTTCGCAGGCTTGCTCTATCTGACTGTTTAACTTGGAAGTGACTGAACGGTTTTATATAACCTGCCTATTCGTACTTACGGACGTATTTGCACATATGTTCTGAATGTTGTCACGAGATTTTGTTTTTGATGTTCTTTTTGCTGTAAATACCGCATCAGGTTCCCAAAATCTGATGCCTTAATATCTGGTCTTCATACACTGTACTCATGTCACCCATTTTCAGGAAAATTTCGTAAATGCTTCGATAACGACTTGACTGAGTGGCATTCAAAATGCACCCCTATTACAATAGTCACTTACTTCCTCATCAATTTTGTTTCTGACAAAAAAAATGTATGGTGTGATTGACCCTCATGATTCTCTACCATTTCCTGCATAATAAACCCTCGTTTCTCACAGACATAAAGAAACTTCCGATTTAATAATCAAGCAGGAAAACTGCAGCACAGTTAGCAATATGCGTGGTGTTTGAGTTTAAGACACACGTGCCTCTTTTTCTGAAACTATGGAAGTCCACCTATAGAAGTCATTCCTTTGTTGAAGCCAGGACTGCGTCTGCATGTCCATGTGCAAAATAACAGGACTAAGAATAAACTTAAAGAAATGCTTGAGTGTGAAAGGATGGATATAACGGGAGTGATTTTATTATCTGTGGGCCAAACAGCGGCTGGCTGATGAAGAGCTTCAGGAAATGCCGTCTGAGGGGAGGAGGAGCTGCCCCCCCCCGGCTGCGAAGGCGGACCGACGATCCGTGGGGAACCCTGCCGGATCTGCTACCCTCCCCTTCAGGGCCAGCTAACGACACCTCCGCTTGCCTTCAGGCATCCTGCATCTTATCTCCCGAGGCTTTCTGTAGCTAACACAGTGAGGGGAGCATTAGCCGGCCTGTGCTCTCCCTCTACGTGATACGCTGCTTAACCTCGCACCCTGTTGGGCCAAAATCAAGGAGTTTCCATGGAATCTCTCTGCCTTTCTGTGTGCAGCTTTCATAGAAGTAACCTAGCCACTAGACATAACATGGGACATGCTTTTACGTAATGCTCAGTGGGTTAGGCTGCTGTCTGACCCTGCATTCAATTACATGTTGCTTTGGATAAAAGCTTCTGCTAAACAGATAAGTTGTAAGTTGACTGTTGCTCGATCTAACCCAGATTCCGAAAGGCCAGCAGCTGGGTTCTTGAAGCAGGGCACCTTCAGAGCTGCATTAGGCAAAAGCTGTGCTTGTAGAGTCCTTGAGCTTTTTACTCTGAAACGGGCTCATATCTCGAGGAGTCTGCAGTGAAAAGCATGCCTTTTGTGTTCCCTCTCTGCGGCCGGGCCAAGGGCAGAGAACAGAGAGAGAGAGACTAAGGGGGGAGGAGCAGCAAACTGGGTTTCGCTGACAAGGGCTCACATCTGGCAGTGGGGCAGCCAGCCAGCTCTGCCAAATATGATATCTGCTCTCATCACTTACCCTTTCAGATCCCTCTGCACAAACATCACATTCATGGGGCACAACCAGGCCCCATACCCCCCCACCCCCACTGAGGTCTCTCCCCCTGTAATGATACAAAGTAGTCAGTAATGGATCAAACAGGTCCCCCCCCCACCCCCCAACCAGGCCCAACGGATAGATTTCATCTCCCTTTAACGGTTCCACCTAGTTACCTTTATATAACTCAGCTGCTCACTTTTATTTTATACTGACATTTCCGGGAAGTCCTCCTGTTTACGTACATAACAGGATATAGATTTTTTTTAAGTGTTTATCAACACATACATTACAGTCCCCATGACATCATCAGCTACAAAAATAGTTCTACACAGCCAAGTATGATATAGTTTCAAAGGCGTTGATTTTTGCGAGAACATCATAAACCAGATCGGCGATGCAGGGAGGGATCACTGCTACTGGAGAAATGCTTCTATTTGACCTTTATCACCTACCTCTGAGATTCCAAGTGTGTCCTTAGAAGGCTGAGTAAACGCTGGCCAGGCCGCCGTCCATCACAGCCAGTTCACACACGCAGACATCGCCCGTCACATAGACACATGCCGAGGGCAATCAGAAGTCACTGATTCACCTAAGCCGCATATTTTAGGGTTATAGGAGGACACTGGCACATCTGGAAGAAATCCACGTGAACTTCAGGAGAACATGCAAACTCCTAATAGACGAGCCACGGGCCAAGTAGGAACTCAAAGATCTGAGGCCGATCGGAACGAGTCACTGTCACAAAGCTATCCGTAAACAAGATGATAAAGCTATTTATTTTCTGTCTTACTGAGTCTCCTGTTTTTTATGTGTAGATGTTTAATCATGGGGGTTATGTTGTCTGTATTAAACTGTATTCATTGTGGAGGGGATTTTCCAGAAATTCCCACTCATGTAAGGCATAACTGGTTTTTACGTAACAGCAAAGAGGACCACAAATGTCTTTGATCCCATGAAGGCAGTCCATGGTGTTTCACCTCCACTCACCTATAATTCTTGTTTATGATACTCTGATGGAAGAATTTGAAAACCTCCAGAGCCTTGATAACCAGGTGTGTTCCCTCAAGCCAGACACAAAGAGAAACATACCCACATAGACAGTAAACAGCTTATTAATGAGCAATCAAAGACGATCTGGGATAAGAAGAAGAGGAGCAGCAGAGTTCACAGTGTGGAGTAAATAACTCATCTGGTAGCATAAAAGGACATTGTCTTCCTGGTCAGAGGACCCTCCTGTCTCTTGTCGCAAAGCTGTTTTCAAATGAAACATGCCTCCATTTTCTTTCTGAGCAAAGCTGAGTATAAATCAGCTGCACTGGCCGCCTTTCTGCCAGAGCACCAGAAGCGCCATTCCTCATGAACTTCTAGCGTCGTACGCTGGCCGTTTGAAATCACGCTTCCTCTTTCCTCTTACACTTTTGCTTTCTGACTTCTAAGGTCATTATACTCACCATTTCCTTAAAGACATTTTTAAAAGATACGAATCAGGCAAAGTACTTCAAACTGGGCCTGGGGTGTAGCAATGATATCGAATGTAGCAAAAACTGCTACTGTATCCACTTAATTAAGCACAAGATAGCATTGACTTCAACAGCTTAATGTTTCAGTTTAACACAGTGATGGATGAACAAGTAGATGATTTGGAATTTTATATATTATTAATACAAACTAAAAACAGGCCTGGATGATGGCTAAACTGGCATAATGTATTGAATATTGAATATTTTGCACTTTTGTACATAATGTACTATACCAGTGATGGAGTGATATGATCAGAAATGTCAAACCTAATTTCCAACACAGCGCTTGTATTTTTAAAGAAACTCGATCAGTTTCAGGCTGAGGTAATGGAATTGCCAAATTTAGACAGAATCATACAAAAAAACAGGATGCTATATCTGAGAAAAAAAAAGAAATAAAAATATAGGGAAACTATCAATTGGTTGAAATCCCACCTGACTATAGCGGTTTATTTTTTTGTTTCCTTAAATTTATTTTTGAAGACGTAGAAATTGTCTCTGGGTCATCATTGCGAGATGATGTTGTGTAGCAAGATGTCTTCCTAATAATTACTTCATGGTGCCCGGCTTGTATACTTTTACTGCTCGGTACGTTATTATTCAGCGAAAATGGAGGCGTATATAAACTTAATTATTGTAGAAAAAAAACCGCACCATTATTTTGATTTAAATACTATTACTAGGGGGAAAAACTTTACGATTAGTGCTTTTAATACAAATTCAGTGAGATCAGTTTAGGTCATTCCGCATTAAAACGACCATGCGGCTAAACGAAGTTTAATGAATCTTTCAACAGCCAAAAAGGAAAAAAGAAAAGAAACAAATTAACGGAATTTGCCGTAACATATTAAACTGCTTAAAGCTACAATTTCACCAGTTAACTTCGGGACATAAGTCAAACAATGTTCGTGTTTCGAATATGATATGGAATATCTGTATGTAGGGTTTTCAATAAACTAATTTCCACACACCAGGGGCAATGCGAATGGCCGCACTTAGTGTGCATGTATATGTATAATCGCTGAATACATTATCTAACAGTTACGTTGCCTAATGTTTGGGCAAATAATTTGGACTTCCGCTGATAATAATATTGACCTAGAAAGACCTTGCTTTAGGCAAATAAATGTTTTGAAACAAAACACTCCGCTACAGTTTGGTTCACGTTTGGCAACAAGTTAGCCGGAGCACACTGGGCAGCAGAGCCATTGACTGCGTCTTTAAATCCTACAGCCAAAAACTCCTCCTTCTCCCGTCACACGGCAGCCCTGCAAAAACCCTTTTAATTCGGACTGTCACGGTGTAGTTGCAGGAAATGACAAACAGGAGGGAAGCAGACTCGCTGGCATACAAGCCGAAATGATGATTTATACCAGAAAATGGAAAATGTCGATTTAATCACGTGTAATGTTATTCTGTTGAAAGAAGCGTGAGGATTTGCACTGGGCTGACTGCTACATCGCATGGACATCCGTAGTGTAAGATCGCATCTTCCAAGTTCAAGAGAAACATTTTTCATGTGTTTTTTTCTGCAAGATCTCAGCGTCGTGATCGTCCTCAAAAGCATCACACCATTTGATAGATTACGGGAGAGCGACCGCCACATGAAATGTGGATCTTCTGCTGAAGTGCAGTTTTAAAAGCTTTTTGGGAGGTTTTTCCTGTTTGTTTGCATATACAGTCGTAGTACGTTTTACTCATGAAAAATAATCTTTGGAGCGGTTCCCGGGACATGAATATGGTGATGCCGAACAAAAGTGCGGAATGGCTGCAGTATGAACTGGAATCCGGCGGGAGCTCCCTGCTCCTGCTGGACTGCAGATCGCATGAGCTTTTTGAATCGTCTCATATAGAGACGGCCATCAATTTAGCGATCCCAGGACTGATGCTCCGGAGACTCAAGAAGGGTAATCTGCCCATCAAGTCCATCATCCCCAATAACGAGGATAAGGAGAAGTTCTTGAAGCGATGCAAGACGGACACCGTGCTTCTGTACGACGAGGCCACTTCGGACTGTCAGGAGAGCGGAGCGCCCACTTCGGTCCTTGGTCTTCTCCTCCTGAAGCTCCGGGACGACAGCTGTAAGGCTTTTTACCTGGAAGGTACGCATATTCCCGACTGTCTGCATTTGGCTGCGATAACTTTCCGATCTCGGATCTGCCGCTAGCGTAAAATAAAACCCATTCATCATCTCGCATGCGGACGCAGGTCCAGCGTAGGTCCACGGCAGCCCAGGACTAGAATTTGCCATTATTAAAATCCCCTTTCCCGCTTTATCATAGACATTAAAGTTCGAGCGACTCGAAGCGATCAGAGATTTGTGTTGGTGTTTTATTAAAAACACATTTCAGCAGTTTACAAAACACATATCAGATCAAAACTAGTTTCAGCAACATTCAGTTGTATTTCAATTTATTGGCATTAAATAATGTTCTGTGGCGGATACACAGTCAGTGTTAGTGTCCAACTAATTAGTCACGGTGGCTTTTAATATTATTGATTTCCAAAAGCGCTATTTATTCTACTCCAGAAGTGAGCAATGCGCTCAATCCCCCAACCCGAGTACAGTTATTATATATACAGTGTTTATGGAAAGATTTTTTTCTTTTGCTTTGGTAGATTAATAAGGAGCTTTTAGTCTCGATTTAATTGCTTGGCTGCTTGACTTTTTCCTACTTGTGCTCAGACGTAACTATAGCTAGACTTGTAGGTGTGCGTTTGGATTTTCGGATAACTAGGTCGGCTGTTAAAGGAGAAATATACGTTTTTGCTTTATATTCAGTGACAGCTCGCATTGAACGCTAAGCAAATGTTGTTGTTTTGGGATGTGAAATAGAGCAAAAACACGAAGCATGCCCCCCCCAAGGGACGATCGCAGCGTGGTGCTCGCCTCCACATTGATCATTTATTATTGCTTACAGTATCCGCCGAATTACGACGTAAGAGTAACAATGTCACAAAGGAAACTGCGAGCTAATAAAACCAAAGGCTCGTCTGTTTTCTATCACTTATTGCAAGTGTAATACAGTGCATGCAGTCGGTTTTTGCGATTTAAAAAATTTATGAAAGAATGCGAAGGAGCTCAAGATGTATTCAATTAAATGTCCAAAATGGCTGCGCCATGTTGTCTGGGTGGTAAAAGGCGACGATTTCATGAATGAACAGGAAGGGAAACGGCGGCTCACCTGTGAAACACGCTCATAAACAAATAGCGAGCATCGGGAACAGACTGTTCATTGTGGCTTTTAGTAATTATATCCGCGTCATGTGATCGTGCTGTATTTACATGGTATATCCCGAAATGACTGTCATTCACAAAAAGAAAAAAGGCATATCATTACCGCACTGTGCTTTCATTCTGTTTCTGTTAATACTTTGTTATGTTATATTCATTACTATATTCTTTAAGTACTTATATAAATTAGATCGTACGATATTTTGCTGAATTGATTGCTGAATACGCATGCTATTTAGTGGTTGAGTTACAGACCCTTAGGGAATTGGCAATAACAGACATTGACTGTACTGTCAAAGGTTATATGATAATGATACGGAACTTGGAAACCGATGAAGGATTATGCAGCTTATTATGTGTTATGTAAAATAACACACCTAAGGTCAAACAATACGAATACAACCGAAACTGAACAATACAGCTCCCGTGTGAATAATAAAAAACGTGCCGAATTATTAAAATAACGAATTTATTATCACATTAATTTGTATTTCGGTGTCGTCATTTTACAGTAGCACGAATATTCGGGGGTTATTTCCAAAATCGTGCTGAAGTGGTTTTAAAGGGTTTTCCGAGGTCCTTTACATCGCTCACAAATATGGCTGTTGGTTTGCAAATAGTAGCCACAGTGTAACACTACGTGTGGCAGTGGATGTACTGGTGTGTACGGACGACCTCAGCTATCCAAAAATCAGTTTGAAATGAATAGATGAGTTGTGTAAGTTTTCCTATAAGAGTTCATCCACTACTTCTGCTACCTGTATGGTTGTTGTCATTTTGTTTTTACATTATTCCTATTGTAATTTTGACGTTATTATTGTATTGACATTATTATTTTGAAATTATTCGTATTTTGAAATACTACTACTCCTACTCCTACTCCTACTACTACTACTACTACTAATAATAAATATTATTATTATTTTTATTATTGCTGTTGTTGTTATTGTTACTAAAAAGGACTGGGTATCGTTTGCATTTTTCCAGGGGGGTTCAACAAGTTCCAGACGGATTACCCTGACCACTGCGAGACCAGCCTGGACACTTCCTGCCCCAGCAGCTCACCCCCAGCCTCTGTGCTGGGCCTGGGTGGGCTGCGCATCAACTCGGACTGCTCCGACGGGGAGTCTGACCGGGAACCCGGCAGCGCCACCGAGTCGGAGGGGAGCCCGTTGCCCAGCAACCAGCCAGCCTTCCCCGTCCAGATCCTTCCATACCTGTACCTGGGCTGTGCCAAGGACTCCGCCAACCTGGACATCTTGGGCAAGTACAACATCAAGTACATCCTGAACGTGACGCCCAATCTTCCCAACATGTTTGAACACGACGGCGATTTCAAGTACAAGCAGATCCCCATCTCTGACCACTGGAGTCAGAACCTCTCTCAGTTTTTTCCCGAAGCCATCTCTTTCATTGGTGAGCACCCTGCCTTTTTATCATTGCTATGTCTTCATACAATCTAGCTGCACACAGTGTTTTGGGCATCTCTTGTTTGCCTGATTGACGTATCACTCATTGATAGCTATTCGCAGGATACAGTGTTCAGTATCTTCCCAAATGATTCGTAAGATTTAATAATGTATTGCCATTAATTAGCTGCCAGGGCGAAATCCTTGATAGCTATTTCTCAAATATGTATAATTAATATTAGTCTTAGTGTGGGGATACCCATTATAAAGTCATTGCTGGTGTCAATTATCGTTAGGGTAGGAATTAGTAATGCAGGACATAGTTTAATTATTTAATCCTTTAATGTTACTGTGCTGACTTGACCACATGTGCTCAGTAGACCGTAGAGCGTTCGCTTAAGGTAAAGGTTAAAGTTTTCTGGAATTGCTTAGTTACCTTAAATTGTCTGCAGATTACACTTCTCAGTGCATGAATTTGTCAGTTTCGTTGCTGTCAGTATAATATTAACCAGCATGTAAAACCACGGCTATAAGCACATAAAGATTTCTTGATATTCGAAAGCCTGCAGTTTCATCTAAGCGGGGAATTCTGAGCTTTTCCTTCTTTGTGTAAATGGGATGTGAGGATCACGGGCTCCTAAGCAGAAACGGCGGCGTTATGTGTTCATTCATCTGTGTTAAATATAACATGAATGAAAGAGCTTTTATTGTAGGGAGTTATGTGTTTAATTTACTGTTACTGTCTTGTCTCATAAAATAAACAGTCAGGCAGCAGAGACCTTGTGCAGGATTACAGTTTTCAAGATGGAGGCTGTGCAGCAAGTAATTTAATTCAGTTTTGCCAGTGCTTCTGTGAAGTGCTGCTTTTTAAGTGTGTTATTCTATGGCTTATTTGCTACTTGGTATTTTAAAAGTTGGTATCAATTTAGTTTAACCATGAGGATTTTATTAAAGCTTGCAAAAAATACCAAAAAGACAAAAAAAAAGATGTTTGCAATGTAAAAGGAAGCATGTTCTAATACTCAAAACGTTCTAGTCTTAAAACCTTCATTGTGCTGCATAAATCGAACTGCAGCTCTAGGCTTGGCCACAAGGGGCACTGTATATTCATTGTCGTTTGGATATCTTTGTGGGGTAAAGAGACTGCATGTGAATCAATGTGCAGGAGATGTGATACTGCATGCTTATGAAAGGAAATGGAGACAGACAGGTTCTGGAATGTAATTCCGGGCGAGCGTCTCTCCGAGGAAGACGCTTTAGACACGTTTCAGCATGTCACTCTTTACTGGAAACTCAGGGGTTCCCACTCCAATGAACTGAGTGCCGTTGTTTCGTGTTTTATGAAAACCAGAGACTGTCTGAATGAGTCCTCTTATGCCCAAGAGAGAGGAAAGAGGTGGAGGTCCCCAAAAGCCCAAAGATTTCTGGATTTTCATGGACACGGCAGTTCCTTTGAGAGGATCGGTATAGAATAGGGGAGTGACAGGCCATTGCAGAGATGAACAGCCCACAAGCTGAGGAGCGATGAGGGAGCTCTGTTACATTTTGCCGTGTTTATTTGGACGCTGTTGCTGTATATTTTTATAGGAGCAGTTTACATTAGGGATGCCGCTCTGCGGAACAGCCTCCTGGACATGCCTGGCTTTTAAAGTGGCCACCCTGACATTAAGCAGACTGCTTACTGGCTGCTAAATCCACTATTGGATCAGCTCAGCTATCAATAGCATTCTCATTCATTAATTGTTTTGGGGTATCTTGTTTAAATGACCTTCTACTTCTCTCATCGCAGACGGGCGAGCATTTCAATGCGAGTGTGATGTACCGGGTTCCTTTATGATTCCTAAGTGGAATTGTGATTCAAGAGGCCCATCAAAGCCAGGCAGGAATCTTTTTGGTTTTTGGAAAGTATTCTGTTCCAAGGGAATTTTTACACATATTTTAGGGGTTATCTTGGAGATTATTTGGGGGTTACTTATAGAAAACCTCAAACTTTTAGTACTTGTTCTGTTTTTTCCATATTCTGCGGGATGTTAATCAGATATGACTTCCTACGATAGGGCAAAAGATATACTTATCGATGTGGCTGTGTGTGAAATGTATGGTGCATCTTTGACGGACTGGTAATCTCAGCATCCTTCCTGGTATTATTGAAGATGTAGGTCCATTGAGGATGTATGGGCAGCACCACGAGATTCGGGAGAGAGCCTGTTTTTTGGTCTTCCTGTGTCCTCTTGGTATCATGACATTATCATGCTTGGCGATCAAACTGCTGACATTTCTATTCTTTTTTCTTCAATTCTTAATTTTAATATGAGTGCTCCTGTAGACTTAGTCATGATAACAGAAAATAGAGAGTTGAGAGGGTGTCCACTCTCCAGCTCAGCTACTCTATTTCATATTGGAGACGAGTAAATATTTGTACAGTTTGGGGGTAAAAGAGCTTTGTGTGATCCGTGGATGACCATTTGTGTGTCTCTCATAGAAGCACCTCTGAGTATTCCCTTCCAGATATAGACATTACATAGGATTTTGAGGTACTGTAGTGATCTAGGAATTAAAACAATGATAAAAGTACATAATTCTGTATATTATATTTTGCCCAGTATAAGATTGTAAAAATGAGAGATTTTCCTGTTTTTGTTCTTGTTGTTGTCGTGCTGCAGAAAAAGTTTCCCCGTGTCGTGTGGTCTGGGTTTTCTTCTGCTTTGTAGAACCAGGAAGCTGCAGAAATTATGAATAAACACATTAAACACGAGGGTCAGCCAGCAAGTCAAGTCCTGTGTTTTTCACCAGGGACAGCAGTTCTCTTCAATGGCTGGCTTCATTCAGCCTTTTCTAATCACGGTGATTCTCGTGTTCTGTCAAAAAAATTGTTAGTTATTTATGGCACTCAGTATACCAATTAATGTTATATTTTCAAACCTTAAAATGGCCTTGCTTAAAATGGTGCACTCCTTGCTGCTGTGATGGAGATACAGCAGGAGGGAAAAAAGTGGGCAAGCCCTCTCATATGAAATATTTATGCATGAAATCCCCCCCCCCCAATTCAAGATGACCTAAATCTGAAGTCAAAATGTGTTTTGGGAAGGGTGGGGGGCTCTTACATCCTCATAGCAATAAAAGCAGAATGATTCACAATGGCTTAGCGTTTCACCAGCCACCTTCCGGCAATGTTTTGAATCAGTCTTTCTTTGGCACATTTATGTTTGTTTTTTTATTCTACAGTAATATTTTAGATTTAATATTTTATATATCCCTAATTCAGGGCTCCATTTGTCATGAAATGTTTGACGACCCGGAGACAGAAAAGAACAGGCTGTGTGTGTTAGACGCCAGTGACTGGGCAAGAGTATGATAACAATTAGCAACGACAAAGTATATTACCCAGAGTGCTTCCAAAATGTCTACTTTAAGATATGAAACCCTCCCTGTGGGTTTTGTGTATAGCAGTCCAGTTAATGTCCACAAAGATACAGTAAAAACCTTACAGAATTGCGCCCACTGAGACTAATGTTGTTGTTCTCTTTGCCCCTTAAGATGAGGCTCGTTCCAAAAAATGTGGGATCCTGGTGCACTGCCTGGCAGGGATCAGCCGGTCTGTGACCGTGACCGTGGCCTACCTGATGCAGAAGCTCAACCTGTCCCTCAACGACGCCTATGACTACGTCAAGCGGAAAAAGTCCAACATCTCGCCGAACTTCAACTTCATGGGCCAGCTGCTGGACTTCGAGAGGACACTGGGCCTCAACAGCCCGTGCGATAACCGCTCGCCCAGCGACCAGCTCTTCTTCACCACGCCGACCAATCACAACGTTTTCCAGCTCGACACGCTGGAGTCCACTTGAAGGCCGGTCGCCGGGAGGATGGGTGGGCGGCCACCCGGTTGAATGTTTATTTTCTGTCTCCTGTAGCATTTCAGACCTGTTGTCCAGGCCAGGCAGCTAACAGGGGACAGCGAGCAGGTGGCACCTTGGAATTCAGCTTTACCTGCGAGGGTCCACCCAGGAATCTCTGCTGCTCCTTTGGCGATTAAGAGGAGGCCCCGTGCGCCTTTCAGACAGACTGCTTTTTTGTCTTATTTCAGAAAAAAAGGAAGTAATAGACTGGAAAACTGCCACAAAGAGCTTCATACAAAGAGGGGAAGATGAAACTGCAGCCCTTAACTTATTTTCTGTGGAGACGACACCTTGGCTTTGTTGACTTGGAGGGTGCCAGCAGAGTTTCCACTGGGGTGCTGTCTTGTTTATTTTTTCATGAGGGTGAACTCACTCTACTGAATGTAGGGTCAGATCTCAAAACCAAGAAACAAACACACTTATCATCACGTATGCATATAAAATGTATGTACTATACTATATGCGTTCCGTGAATATATAATATATAAATATATTTTATATATATATATAAATAAATATATATATAAAATATATATGTTTTATAAAATATAAATACATGCAAACAAGTTACTTTCTTGTAGAAAAGAATCCGACTGTAACAAAAAGAAATGAGAGAAAAGAACTTATGGCTGTTTGTTTTGCAGACTGCCCCCCCTCCCCCCCCCCCCCCACCCCAGCCTACGTTTCTAATGACGTAATGCAGTTTGCACAGTGGTGAAGCCTTTCACATCTTGGCACTTAAAGCTGGTACTCCAGCCGTATAAAGGGACGTTCAGAGTTCCGCCGGGACGGCCAGTTCTAGGCTGTGACGTGCCGCTGCAGTCCTTTAAAAGCTCATTGTTCCTAACGGCATACAAAAGATGGACCTCTTTCTCACATTGATGAGCCTTGGCGATACTACTACGGATATTATTATTATGATTATTATTATGATTATTATTATTGTGCCAGAATAGGCTCCGCTCTCTAGCAGTGTAGGACTTTGTCCGCTGAAAACAGATAGATGAGACCCGTTTCTTTAAATCACTGGTGCTGCTGCTCCTCATGGCTGCTGGGGAGCTGGAGCAGCGCACGGTGCCCACAGAGGGCTTTCGTTGACAGAAACATTGAGTGGGTGGATGAGGTTGGATGAGGCACTGCAGGAGTTTAGAGTTGCTTTAAGCTGGCCTTATATAACCTTTGTAAAGCATTTCTAATGCTGACTGTTTGATACTGTATTTGTATTTGACTTCACACCTGTTTTTGTTTTTTGTTTTTTTTTTTTAAAAAAAAACATTGGAAAAACAGCCTAGTAATAATGAACATGCCACGTGTTTTTTTGTGACTGGTCCGAATAGGTGGTTCTCATTCTCTGCAATACGAACGTTTTTTTTCTTTTAATACCGATCTTGTTGTTTTTCAATTCCTCTACTTTTGTATAAGATCTCTGAGAAATACAGCTGAAGCACTTGGGTTTATTTGTAACCTGGGGTGACAAAGTATAAGGCTATAAAGGAACTGGCTAATAATTTTACAGTCTTTAATACTGGGAACAATTAACCAATGCATTTGCCTCTGTTCTTTGAGAACGGTTTGATTAGAAGACCTGGTGTCTATGGGACTTGATTCTTGTTTTTAAACTAATATCTTTCATATGTGTTTAATCTTGTGGCCTTGAAGTCATGTGGACCTAATATGCAATCTTAATCTCCCGGTCATATTGAAAATCTCAAGTCTCTTTTCATGCTTGCAAGAGACGCCTTTTTTCTTACGTACGATCTCAGTCACGACTCGGACGCAGCGATACCATAAGAGCCAATTTACTTGCACCCCGGGATTTTTCTTTCTAAAAAATATATTTCACAATGGAGATTTTTTTTTTTTAATTTAAGAGAATATTTGCTTTCCATCTGCTCTTGGTGGAGGAATGTGTCTTTTTAACAACTATAAGAGGAACAACACTCTTTCCTTTCTCCGTTTTGTATATTGCCAGAGCACAGGACCCGCAGTTTCTGTGAAATACCTTGTAGCGCGAGTTTGAAGAGAGTGCCAGATGAGCTAAGGTTGGTTTTAAGAGTGACAGTGACTAAAATGTATTTCTTACCTCACCGAGGATTTTTTCAGGGATTTTTTTGACAATGCATCTGCATCGTGTTACAGCTCCACGTAATATTGTCATAGCTGTTTTATATGTGCTGTATACATTTTTTAAGATGCAATCTATATATGTGTATAAAACTTGGCTTGGTTTCAGGGCAGTTCTACTTTATGAAGGATATAAAATTGACCCTATGTATTGTATAGTATATGAAAACCAATACAAGACATGTTTATACTACAAATAAATATTGAATTATTTTTTCTTTACAAATGTTCTGTCCTTATTTTTCCGCTTGTGGTTTGTTCCCATAAGTAGGATTCGGGTCAGAGAGATGGAGAGTCTTGCATGACTAGTTGTTTGTTTAAAACCGTTAAAGTAAAACACTTCATTACAGAGCTTCTTTTGTAAGAAAGTAAAAGTGAAAGGATACATGTGGTGCTTGTTATCGTGTCAGGAGTGCGTCCTTAGGCAGGATATCCGCCCCTTTAGATCAACATTGAAGTGGTTTACCAACCCATCTGCATAAGCATGGCATTGCTTTCCAGTATAATGTGTTTTAATTCAGTAGCACCTGCTCTTGCTAAGCCAGGCAGCCCGGGTGTCCACATCACCAATCCACATCACTTATCTGTTCTCTGATATGATCTCCTTCATACAGCATCCTAGATCTGGAGATGGGGAGAGCTGTAGATGGAGGAATCCCAATCTTTCATTGAGTAACAGCCATTTATGCAGTTTGGATTGGCGGCACGGTAATGCAGTGGTTAGTTCCCAGGTTCCGTGTGTGTGGAGTTTGCATGTTCTCCCCGTGTCATCATGGGGTTTCTTCCGAGTACTCCGGATTCCCCTCACAGTCCAAAAACATGCCGAGATTAACTGGAGTTACCAAATTGCCTATGTGTGGTTGAATGGTGTGTGAATGTGCCCTGTTATGGGTTGGCGGCCCATCCTGGGTTGTCCCCTGCCTTGCGTCTCTGGGATTGGCTCCAAACTCCCCACGTTCCTGAATAAGATAAGCAGTTATAGAAAATGGATGGATGGATGGATGGATGCAGCTTGGAGAAGAGTGACTGGCTGCCTGTCCTGCCTGGTCTTCCTTGAAGTAGTTTTCTCAATGATGCTTGCTGCCTTCCAGTATCATTGGGGAAATCTGTGCCCTAATACAATCAGATGCATTTAGTGTCTTACCGTAAATCACCAGCAGACTGTATCAGAGACCTGGGTGTAATAGTCTGATTAACGTGTCTGGCTTTGTCAACCACCGTTTTTTTTTTCTTTCTTTACAGTAATTCAGACACTTCAACTTTCAGAGCACAGGGTGCTGTATTGCCCCAATTAAACCATCGGTTTCTCAACAAGCAAATGTGTGTCTCATCACCATATTGATTATTCAGCATTTATATCCTAGGGCAAAGGACATTTTGAGGATACGAGCCATTTGTGATCCTCTGCATGCACGCATTTCTTACAAATAGGCCATGAGGTGAGTAAGTGCAGGTTTCGTAACGCCAGAATATCAAAAACTGAAGCCTATGTAGTTCATATGCCCCAGCAGAAATGTTCCATTTCACTTTATTCAGCATTTTGTCTGTCGATCGAGGGTCACTTCCGTTTTTTTTCCCTGATTTTCCTTCGTGTGACGGGCAGCTTCTTTCAGCTTTTCTCACCAGGGAATCAAAGGCTTCACTTCTGGATGCCTGTCGATGGCTGGAGCTCCCAGGCTGAGATAAGGCATCCGCTCCCCTGTCTGATTTCCTGTTCCTCTGCGGTCGGTTTTGCATGCAATGGCAGGTGACGGCGCGATATCCGATTGCTCAAAGTACCACCATAGCCACTTCCCTTTTTCAGCCCAGACACAGTCATCGCTGAACGGGGGGGGGGAGGTTAGGCAACACAGTGCTGCTTTTATTTCAAGTAAGAAGACACTGGTGCTGCTCTTTACCACACCTAATGCTAATTATACTGAAGACAGGACAGCTGGTTCAGGCACACTTCCTGTTTACAAAGACGGCACCTAACAATGCTTCTATAACCAAGAAAAACATACCGATAAAGAATTTAAGTATATCAGTTAATGTTTACAAAGTACCATAGAACACCGCTGCTCCTAGTTTACTACTTGTAATAATATTTCAGAGTTTAATCAAAGTGTGTTCTTCAGTGACAGAATGGATTAATATAAGCACTTGTTTTCAGTTTGCAAAAAGCTTTAAGGTTGAAAGCCACACCAGTACTGCCTCTCCTTTATTATTTAAAGCTCTCACTGAAAGTAGGTGTAAACATATTAAAACAAATAGGAAATTAGGTGAATATAGGATGTTGATTAATATAAATAGAGAATGTAAGAATTCTAATTTGTGTACCAGTATGATTTGTTTCTTATTTTTTTTGCGGAAATAGATCGGACTACGTGGATAAGCATTGTAGGTGTTCTTTAGTATTCATGAAGACACCTGATCGCCGTTTGTTGTTTTCAACTGCGTTCACCTATCTGTCCATTGCCTCAGGTTTTCACTGCAACCCCTCTGCCGCTGCTGTGAATGGATGTGAAAGGATCCCACATTTACCAACCGAAAAAAAACCCCCCAAACAAAGCCTTCAAAAAGACTCCCCAGCTGCAGGCTGATACGTTTCCCCTTTCTTAGCTTATCTCTGTTCGCCCTTTAAAGCAGGGGGAGCTGGGAGCGCTAAACACAACCACCGCATTCCTCAGGATACTAAAGTTTATTGAGATGCGTTATGTTCATATTCCGGAAATAACATGTTTGCAAAGTGCAGCCACTGTGAGATACTGTGAAACTGTGAGATAGATAAAAGGAAGAAAGAGAGCAGTTGGCTATAACATGTTTCTTCATGTCAAAGACAAGAATGAAACATCGCATGTCGGTTCTCTTTTTCTGAATTGGCCGAGTTTCTCCACAGTGCTTGGCGATGATAGACATTTTACAGCATGTTTTCAAGCCCTGATCTTTATTTTTATTTAGCATTTTACAAATGTAAAACCGACCATTTTAAATTTGCAACCTCAAATGTCGGTGAATTAAATCCCCCCCAAAAACATACTAACCCAATTATAAAAGGACTCGTATGTAGCTACGCCGCATTCTTTGCGCTAAAGGTTGTGTACTATATTTATATTTTACGTTCATTTGGTTGTGAAGGTGTAACGCACAATGAATTTGCCCTTTTATTATCATTTGACTGTGTGTAGTGTGTGTATTGTGTGTGTGTGTGTTTGTGATGTATAATTTCCCCCATGGCTACAGCATTAAATTTTTGTTTTTTTTTGATCTGGAAATGTATCGGAGTACATTTTTTAAATTCTTGCTTCACCATTCTGGTAAAAAGTACAGTACACCTCAGTTAATGCTGGACCCAGTCCAAATACAGACTGGCTCCAGTTCTGCTTAGACCTGTACCTGGGCGGTCACTGGAAGCTCAGCTTAGCCGCCCTTTTGCCTAGTTGGCTCCTTGACAGCTGTTTGTTTGTAATGTGTTGTTTGCCTGGCTTGCATGCCCCATTGGACAAAACTGTCTGCTAAATAAGACAATGTAAATGTAATGGACAATAATGTTGCT